GTGCTTGGGTACAGGCCTGGGCAAACCCAGAGCAGTGCCCTGGTTGCTGGGTGTGGAGGTGGCACTGGCTTTGGTTTTGAGATGGAGCTCAGCCCTCTCTGGGCCTCCCTGATCTCTACATGTCTGCTGCTGCCCTCTACTGGGGAGTGGCCCTGCTTGCGTTCTCCCTGAGATTCACTCTTCACAGTTGGCTCGCAGCTCTGGTGTGAAGAAGCCCAAACACACACACACACACACACACACACACACACACACGCACACTCACCAACACGTGCACTCAGATGCACGTGCACACGCTCAGCTCTGCCTCATGATTGTGTGTTGACCATAAAGAGCTCTTCCTTTCTTGCAACCATATGTGTCTGGGCTCTTGCACAAGTCAGGTGGCTGATCAAATTACTTAGAGAAAGGTGGGAGGTGTGGGGAGGGGTGCCGGAGGTTGGGAAATGTGCAGGTGGGGCTGGGTGTTTAGAAATGTCCAAGATCCTGGGTACAGTTTCAAGAGGCAAGGTGAGGAGGAGCAAAGCATGGGTGGAGGAGCTGTTGCTACCACCCATGTCTCGGATGCTGTCCAAGGGCAGGATCTACTGAGAGGCAGGGAAGGAGAAGCCCCACTCTGCCTCCCCCAGACCAGACCTTCTAATGGCGCCTGGCTTTTGAGTCATCTTTCCCCCATGTTTCTCCGGCCTTGACAGCAAAATCAGAACATTGCTAGTGCCGCTAAGTACATTTGTCAGTGGCTGAAGGGCTTCTAAACTAATAATCGCTGTATTAAAATCGTATTTGGTCCTCAAACTGGAGAAACGTTGGGAGATTTTTAAATGTTAAGAGAAAAGGAAGAAAAAAAATCCCCTCTCAAAGGATAAAATCAGCCTTGAAATAAGTTTCTGTGACTGAGGAACATGAAGTATTGCTCTGTGATTCTGGAAATCCAGCCTTCCCCGGAAAATAGATGCTCTCCAAAGGCACATATTTCAGCCACGGCTGCGAAGGTGATGTGTGAAGTCCCCCAGAGCTGGGTATTGATCCCACCGAGCAGGGGAGCCGCACAGGGAAAGGCATACAATTCTATGGCCCTTGAGTCATTTTTAGAATGGATTTCAAAATGCCACTTCCCCCGCCCTCCAGAAAATGAGCTTGTGTCTTCCCAGCCTGGATGGCCCCAGATGATGCACAACCCTTAGCCATGAGAGAAACTCCAAAATTCTCCTGCCCATTACGACCTAAGCAGTTTTAAATGGTTTTCAGGTCCTCTCAGCTCTAATAGATTAAAAAATGTTCCCTTGGGCATCACAAGGACGTTGAATGGTACTTGTCCCAAACCTCTGGCTCTGAGAGGCCTGTGAAATGTACGTTAGAGCTTCAGAGGCGAGAGGAGGGCAGGCCATAAACCATGCTGCTTTTGAATTGTGCAGCCTGCCAGATTTTATATTGCAGTCTTCTTTCGCTACGAGCTCTTTCTTAATTATCTTCTCCCCAGAATGCCCTCCCCTCCATCATCTAAGATTTATCAGGATGTGGTCTGGAAGGCTCCAGTAATCTCAAGAGACCATCGCCTTCCCAGGCTGAGCAGCGACCTGGGCCAGCTTCTCCTGACACCTGGGGGCAGGTGTAAAACCAGACAAGCCCAGGCCCAGCACCCTCTCTCCTGCAGGGCAGCATCCTGCCCCGGCCTTGCCCTTTCCTATCATTTCATATACACATGCTCCCTGAAGTGGGCTCCCCCGGGCTTAGCCAACCTCTCTCCTGCTCCCAGATCCCTTCCCAGACCCCACAAACCACCCCCATCTCAGCAGGGGGCAGTAGCTCTCTTAACCTTCCCGCCTGGACTTATTTACTTACTTATTTGGCAGTGCTGGGGATGGAACCCAGGACCTCATACATGCCAAGCAAGCGCTCTGCCTTTCAGCCTTAGCCTCTAGGACTCATTTTTCAACATAATTTTTTTCCTACCAGTCCCTGTGCGGTACTCATTATGCTTTTAGTATCTGTTGATTGAGAAAATAGATGATGACAAAAACCTCTAGGAATTCAATAATGCCTTTAAATGAATTTGTATTTTGGTAATCACCAGAATGCTTGCATACATTTGAGAAATCATCGTGCTCCTTGGGTACAGTTTTCTACTCTGCCGACAGTGCTTGAGAGTGTGTGGACGTGGGTAGGTCTTGACCAGCCCACAGGTGGGAGCCCCTCACCCACAGCCTGTGAATTGGCATTGTTGATGGGGCTCCCGGGAGTGGCACTCTGCTGTCCAGCCAGGGCAGATCTGAGGGGGGCCTCCACCCCCAGCCCGACACATTTGCAATTCCAGTGCTTTGAAGGGAGACAAATGTCCCTCTCTCCAGGCCAAACCTCTTCCTCCAGCTTCACAGCCCAGGCCCCTTCCCCGGCCTCCTTTCCCAAGGCTCTGTGGGGAGGCTTGGGTCATTGCGGCCTATGGCATAGAGAGGGCCTCAGATAGGACCTGGCCCTAAAAGAATGATGTGTGTCTCAGGATGATGTGTGTCTCAGGATGCCCAGACAGAGCCCAAGGCTTGGTAGGCACCATCTCTGCAAGGAGGACTGCAAGGTGGGACTACAAGAGGCCCTGGATCTGAGTCCCAACTCTGGAGTTCACTAGCCCTGGCCCCTGAGAAAGCTCTTCTAGTTTTCTAACTCTTGATTTCTCCTTCTGAAAACAACTACCTTGAGGAGCAGGGGTGACTGTAAAGCCAGTGGTCCACAGTCAATGCTTAATAGGAACGGCTGTTATATGTGAGCATGTGACTCATGTGAAGTCGCTTTCAACTTAAGAGCCCCACGTTGGGTACTGGCTATGAGTTCGATAGATAGAATCAGTCAGGATAGACTCTGGTTTGTGCTGTGTAACAAATGCCCCCAAATCTGAGTGGCTGAACATAGCAGAGATTTCCTGTCATGCTACAGATCTGATATACATAGGCACTCAGAGACCCCGGCCAGCAGATCATATGCTCCCCAAATCCCTGTGGCCAGGGACAGAGAATGTGGGGAACTGCTCTTCCAGCTTTCACCCAGGTATGTCACCTGCACTTCCTTCTTTGTCTTGCTGGCCAAAGCAAGTTCCACTTACCTTCAAAGCTGCAATCAGACCACATGCCCACAGGGTACAGAAGAACGTCTGTGAACAGCCCTGACATGGCCACGGCCAGTGTGTTTCCAAAGGCTCTGATGAGACATTGTCCATGACTGGTTTGTTAAGTTTGCACCCTTACAAGTGTGGCTTGTGGTTTCACCTGCCACCTTCCCTAAAAAGGGAGCAGTGAGGCCTAAGAGGTGCATCTCCCACGATTTTGATGGGCCCGGGTTCTGCATGTGGGTAGCGACTGTACATTCAAAGGCTCTCTGGAAATAAGCCATGTGGACTGGTAGCGACAGATCAGGGTGTCCCCATCCACTTTGCTTGTTGGGTGGCATCTGTCACTGTGTCTGCATCAGTAAGGTCTCAGGTCTCAGAATCACTGGTGTTATCACCTGTCCCATCTGCCAAGTACAGCCAAGGCCCTGTTGTCCACGAGCCTCCTTTCCCACCAGGGAGTGTCTTGCAGCCAGCAGCAGGCTGGCCGTCACCCAGGCCCCATGGGGCTGCAGAGACAGTCTGTATTCTGTGTCCTGACACAGACCGCTCCATGGCCATACCCCATCAGCAGAAGTTAGCCTTGAGTGTCCTGGAGTGAGACCCAGAGTTACCTAACCCAGAACATGACCCGATGATAGGGTAGGAGGACACGGGGACCTGGTGTGTGGGCCATCTGCCCACTTCCTGGAGATGACAGGCAGCCCCTCTGAGCTCTCCCATCTGGAGGCCTCTCCCCTTCCCCACCAGCCTCATCTCTCCCCCCTCACACCTCCCCACAGAGCCCTGGGAAAGGAGGCCGGGGAAGGGGCCTGGGCTGTGAAGCTGGAGGAAGAGGTTTGGCCTGGAGAGAGGGACATTTGTCTCCCTTCAAAGCACTGGAATTGCAAATGTGTCGGGCTGGGGGCGGAGGCCCCCCTCAGTCAGGCCCTCCACCTGCCTACCCAGCCCCCCAGCTGACTCACAGAGTCATCCTGAGAATAACCCACGCAGTGACAAACCCCAAGTGGCGGAGATGTGCAAAAAGAGAGTTTCACAAAGGAGTTCTGTGATTCTGTCATCTGAGCCTCATGACAAAACTGTGGCGGTGGGCGAGAAGCGACTCAAGTGGTCATCCAGCTCATCCGGGGCCTCTGCACGCTGGTGGGATGGTGGGGACAGATCTCAGCTCCTGACTCCTCACCCCATATTCCTAGGAAACAGCAGGGCCTAGGGGTGTGGATCCAAGGCCAAGGCCCAAGCCAATGGCAGAAGTGCCTGCATGTGGCCAAAAGAAGCCCTGTCAACTGGGATCAGTGATTTGAGACTTCACAGAGCAGTGGGAAGAATGGAGGCCTTCCCTGGCTTACCACCCGCCCCTCCCAGAGTTGAAGGCCACACACAAAGGTAGAAACAGAAAGCCTCAAGCTTTCTTGGGAGTACAAGGTCAACCTCAGTGCCAAGGGAAAGCCATGGAAGTATCCAGAGGGGCAGCACGCCAGGCTCAGGACATGCCAGGGGCTGAAGCCACCACTCCTCCCTCTTCCATCCACCCGTCCCACCAAGCTGCTCTCCCCTTACTAGCTGGACACACATAGGAAAGTTACTCAACCTCTCTATGTCTCTATTTCCATGTCTATAAAATGGGCTGATAATACTGATTACCTTATAGAGTGGCCATGAGGCTAAAATCAGTTAATCTACATAAAGTGCCTGGAACATCACCTGACATACACCAACACTGTGTGTGTGCTACTACTTAGGGCTACTATTTGCTCCCTGCACTGACACTGTGGGGTAACAACTATGTCCTCAGAATTCTTTGGAGAGACAGGGGTATAGGAAAAGAGGAGGGGTGGTGGCTGCCCAGCACAGCAGCATAAGGGCCTGCCTAGAGCCAGCTCGGACATGTGGGTGGTCTGGGATGGCATCTGAAGAGGCCAGGCCTGGGCAGTACTGGACAGGGCCCTGGGGAGACAAGTGTGAGGAACGGAAGCCCTTCCTCTGTCTGGGGACAGGTCAGCTGGCAAAGGCTGACATGCAAGTGAGCCCAGGGAGAGGGGACATCAGGCTGCTTTGGTTTTTCCTTCTCATTTCCTTCTTGTCTTCTACAAATTTGCAAGTTAGGAACAGGTTGCCACACCATGGTGCTATCTGATCCCACAGCCGAGGTGTCATGCAGTGGAAGATGACACCTACCTGAGGTCTGCTTCTCTTCCCACCTCCCACCAGCTTCTCTCAGCTCCTGGAACAGGCCCCCAGGGGGCTGCCTCAGGGCAGAGAAGCAGAAAGGACCTCCCGGCTGTCCCAGGCTGCCCCTCACCCGAGGCCTCAGATCTCCCCACCCCACACCCCACCCAGGAAGCATATGCACATGTGTCAAGCGGGACCCACGCTTCTCCCTTCCTAAAGGAGCACTTTGTGTCCCAAGTACCACCAAAAAGAGGGAGCGTTCTGTGGCCTGCAGGATGGGAGCCTATGAGGGGTCCCATTTGGGGAAAAGAATGGACTGAGCTGAGGCTTTCGATGCCACAGCAGGCTGGAGGCCGGCGCCTGAGCAAATTGATGATCACCGCTGTGCAGAGCCAGCCAGCCATGCCCGTGGCCTGGGCTGAAGGTCAGTTAGAGGGTTGATCATGCCCAGTGCTGCCTGGTCCAGCCACATCCGCAGCCAGGAGTCCAGCAGAGGGAGAGGACATTAATAACTTGGTGGTGACGGGCACCGCTGTGGGAATGTCCTCTCAGATGGGACAAACACAGTGGCAAGAGCCTCCCCTCGAAGTGTCTCCTTGGCGCTCTCCTGAGACAAAGTCAGAACAACTTTAGGGGCTGTATTTGTAGCCCAGAGTCCCAGCACTTGCCCATGATCAGGAGGGTAAAGGGAGCAATGGGGGACGGCGGGGGGAGCTGGAGGGACACTTTGAAAAGTGGCAGTCATGAAACCTGCCTCTCCTACAACTCAGAGCTACGGGGGTCATGACCACTATAGCAGCAATGCCAGAAATCAGGACGATACTGAGCATTTTGCTCTGGGCACTGGGCTAACCTTTCCATGGCCCTTATCTCAATTCTGTCCCTGACCCCATGGGCAGGTATCATCATCCTGTTCTACAAATGGGGAAACTGAGGCCAAGAGAGGCTCTCCTGCTCACTTTCTCAAGGTCATGCAGGGATGTAGTGGAGCTGTGATGGGAACTGATGGTGCCCAGCTGCGCAGCACAAAAATAAAACCCTCCTGCAAAGCAGTGAGCTCCTCAAACTGCAGGGGCTTTACTTGCTTCCTGTTGGGCTGGGGTCAATGTCCCCAAAGGAAGGCAACATGACAAGACAAGTTAGGACCCAAGCTCTGCACTCTGGAAACTTACAGCTTGCATGTTGATTGGGTTTTCAATAGTATTTTAATATTTAAATTTAAAAGGCACAAAATAATATTTAAAGTCCCTCCCTCACCCCTGCTCCATGGAAGCAAATGTGATGACCAGTTTCTCGTGACAGATCACTCCAGAAAGGGGCTGGGGTTGTGGCTCAGCAGTAGAGCACTTGCCTCCCACATATGAGGCTCTGGGCTCGATCCTCAGCACCACATAAAAACAAAAAAACAAAATATTGATCACTTCAGAAGTAATCAATGCATATTTACAGTCTTTTTTTTTTGGGGGGGGGGGGGCTGGTACTGAGGATTTAACCCAGAAGCACTCACCCACATCCCCAGTCCTTTTTTTAAAAAAAAAAATATATATTTTTTAAGTTGTCAATGGACCTTTTTTAAAATTTATTAATTTATTTAAATGTGGTGCTGAGAATCGAACCCACTGCCTCACACATGCTAGGCAAGTGCTCTTCCACTGAGCCACAAACCAGCCCTAGCCCTTTTTATATTTCATTTAGAGGCAGGGTCTCACTAAGTTGCTGAGGCTGGTTTTGAACTCACGATCCTCCTGCCTCAGCTGCTGGAATTAGAGGCGTGCACCTCGGCGCCTGGCCACTTGTGTAAGCTACCGTGAGGAACCTGCTCTGGCAGAGGCTGGGGACCTTGTGGACTCTCCCGGTACTGCCTCCCCAGCACACTCTCTCCCTCACATAATGTCCACTTTCCTCTCCTTTCTAGAGAGCCCACGGCCAGGGAGATGACTGTGTTGTGACATCCATCAAGGCCAAGAAGGAGGAAGGAGAGGCCCACGGCCAGGCTGCAACCTGTCCAGGAGCACCCACCTCAGCCTCTTCTGCCGGAGGATTCTCTGGCACTGTGGTTGTGCAGGGCAGTGTGGACACCAGGGACATCAGGGTGGGCGTGCGGCTGGAGCCCTTCCTGCATCAGGTCGGAGGGCACCTGAGCGTGATGAAGTACGACGAGCACACGGTGTGCAAACCCCTCATCTCCCAGGAGCAGAGGTTCTACGAATCCCTGCCGCTGGCCATGAAGCGGTTCACCCCACAGTACAAAGGTGAGCGCAGGCAGCCAGGCCATACCAGGCAGGCTCCTCTGCTGGCCCCAGTGCTTTCCGTGTGCTATGGGAGTGTGAGGTTGCCATGGAGACGTGCCCCTCTCCTCACAGGGCCAGGCTTCACTGTCCTAGCTTCTCTGAGCTCTTCAAAGCCTCCAGGTCTGGAGTGTGATCCACTTGGCTTCCCTATGCATTAGCCTAAGCCACCAGGCTTCGGGGAAATCGAAAATGGACTAAATTACACCCTAGTTGCACTAGTCCCTGCCATGCTGGTCTGTGCCTTGGGGGCGTCATAGCTGGTCGTATGACTGTGGCTAACCACAGGACAGGTTGAAGCCTCCTTAACCTCCCTCTGGAGGCCCAGGCAGGAGGGGCTCAGGAACCTCAGGCTGAGTCAGGGATTGGAGAAGCTGGGACATGCTCGTTTAGGAACCAGAATTTTTGCTCTTATCTAGGAAAGGCAAAGCCAGGAGATGAGCCCGTGTCAGAGTGTAGCTGGGGAAACCCACGGATGCAGCACGTGTCCCAGGTCTGAGCACCAAGTGGCTCTGGGGAGAGAAAGCTGGGTGTGGAAGGATCTGCTCGTCTCCTTGTCTGCTGCCCCTTGCCAGGATCCCAGGGCAGGTGTCTGTCCACACCTGGTGTTTGGTAAATGAGGCTCACAGGGTGGACTCCACAAGGTGGCTCTCGCAGTGCTGGGCTGAGCGCCCAGAGGGAAGACCTCCTTTGAAGAAGTTTAGATTTCACAACTGCAAGCGGCTGCCCTATTGTCAAAGGGTCCATGGAGAAGGCAATCATGACCTCCAAATAAGTTCAGAGGAAACCCACTTGTGGGTCAATGATCAAGACAACACAGGGGATAAGACCATCAACACTGGTGGTCATTCCCAGAGTACAACACTGATTCTCAGAACACCATCTGGGGTCAATCAACTTCATCACAATTGTGTGGGTGTGCATGCTCTCGGTCCTCAGGCCCCACCTAGACCTGTCAATCAGAATCTTTGGAATTCTGGGGTCAGGCCCCAGGAATCCATATTTAGCATGAACCCAATTGAGAGCCACTGATAGGGGGTGACCAGGGCCTCGAGGCCCAGGTATTGCTTCTGAGCACTGTTCCACACATGCCTGAACTTTAATCTAGGCTGCCAGGTTCTCCCGAGAATCTGAGACAAGATAGCTCATCATCATGTCCTGAGAGACAGGAGAGGACAGTCCCAGCCACCTCCGCAGGCCCCTTGTCTCCCCCCGTTGGGCTGGGCCGAGTCTTCCAAGGCCGCAGGCCAGTGTTGCCTGGCTGGTTGTGGGTCACTGTTCATCTTGTCAGAGCACCCACTGGAATGAATGTCTGTCCTTTTGCAACTGAACTTAACCCAGCGAAGGGGTGGCAGGCCCTGGCATGGGGCGGACTCCTGCCAGGAGCATTTCATGCTTGTTCAGCACAACTGGGCAGCTGAGGAGGACGACAGGGCCCCTGTGGGCAGAGCCAAAGAGGGAAAGGGGTTGCTCTGGTCTACAAGAGACCACAGACCAGCGCCACCCTGCACCTTGCTGGCACCAGGCCAAGCCTCTGGTGAGACAGCACCATTCTTGGCACCCCCAAGCAATGCTCTGTGGTCCAGATCTCTGCTCAGCCAGGCTTTCCCCTTTAGGTGAGGCCATCCTGGAGACACCCTCCTGGGGGCTCTGATAACTCAGAAATTACCAATGCTCCCCAAATTATAATGGGGATATATCTCAATAAGCCCATTGTAAATTGAAAATATCATTAATTCAAAAATGCATTCAATAAGCTTGGTGTGGTGGCAAACACCTATAATCCCAGTGACTCAGGAGGCTGGGGCAGAAGGAGAACAAGTTTGAGGTCAGCCTCAGCAACTTAGCAAGACTCTCAAAATTTAAAAAAGGACTGGGGATGTAACACCCTTATGTTCAACCCCCAGTACCAAAAGGTTTTCAAAAATGCATTTAATACACAGAGTCTACCCAGCCCTGGAGCTTAGCAACACCGCACCCAGGAGTCTTGGTTGTTCCCCTCATGATCGTGTGGCTCACTGGGAGCTCCAGTTCACTGCCACTGCCCAGCATCAGAGAGAGTACTATGCCACCTCGGGGTGGCCCCTGGAAGGACCAACACTCAAACATCAATGTGTAGTTTCTACTGGATGCATGTGGCTTTTGCACCATCATCAAGTCAAAAAACTGTAAGTCAAACCACCCTGTGTTGGGGACTCTCTGTAACCTGAGCCAAGGTCAGAGCTGAACCATCAAGGCCCCAGTCCTGCCTTCAGGGCTTCTGACAGGAGGTGGTGTTTCCTCAGAGAGGTGCCTTCACACAGCAGTGATGAGGACACTGAGATGAGACAGTAACTAAGCACCCACCTACCTGCACAGGCGCTGGGGTGACCCCCAAACATGAGGCTCTGATGAAGCAGAAACACAGAGCCCACACTCACCATCCCTGCAGGGCCAGGGTCCAAACACCAACTGACACAAGACAAAAGAAGACACTAGAAAAAGGCCCAGAACCAAGGAGCACCATGGGATTCATCCCCATACACCCAGGATGGAGCAGGAAGACCACAAGCTGAGGTCAGGTTGCAGACAGGGCGGGTCCTGAGGGCTCGCGGGTCCTGCAGGCTGCTGGTTTCTCCAAATCTGAGAAGTAGTTGCAGCTAACTCTAGTGTTTGCTCTGTGCCTGGCACCTGCACATGGTCTCTGGACACTAATTCATATAACCCTCACAAGCCCCTGGGGCAGGTACCTTTATTACCCCCTTGGCACAGATGAGAAAATTGAGGTACAAAGAGGTGACCTAGCTTGCCTGAGGCCACACAGCCAGGGACAGGCAGAGTCAGAATTGAAGCCCCAAGGCCTGGCTCCCAAGGATGGGTTCTTGGCCACAAAGGGCCACTCCACCAAGCTCCACTGTTACTAAAGGGAGGGACTTAGGGTGTCAGTGCTCAGGAGGTCACCTAGCCCAAGGAGAGAGGAGATGTGGCTTGCTGGGAGTTACTCAGCCAGTGATCTCATGTGAGGGGAACGCGAATGCTCATGAGGCTCTCTCAGTGATTTCCCGATTTCTCCTCAATAGGAACAGCCCCTTAGAAAGAGGGGCCATTTCTGATGTGGCTGCCACCTGCCACAGAATATGCCCTCTGCATTTTAACTGCCTTGCAGCAATGGCAGCAGGGGAACCTCAGGTTCCTCAGGAACCTCCTTGTGCCAGAAGCTCACTCTGGACCTTTGCTGGGCTCCCCAGGCCTTGGGGCTGCACCCCTCTACCTCTGAGTCTGCCCGTCAGCCTTGGGCAGATGGGGACATACTCCTAAGTCCAATTGGCTAACACTTCAGCCGGATTCATATTACAGACGGCGGTGAGCAAATGTCCTCATAAGCTTAAAAATAAATACATGACAGAATATTCACCAAGACTCAGGAAGCTGCTCAGCCAAACTCAAATTGCTGAGATGCTTTGAGTGTGCCAATCGTGGTAGTAAGCACTCTTGTTTGCCAAGCCGGCAGGGACCCTGGTTGAGGTGCGTGGGGAGGACTGATGAGTGGGGTGACAGGTGTGGTGGTGGGGGCTCTGGCTGGGCCCCAACTTTCCTGGCCAGGCAGTGGCCACAGAGGTCTGGGAGTCCCTGGGCCTAATCCCCATAGGTACACCTGACAAGCTGAGGCTGGGCTGAGCTGCTCTGGCTCTTGATTAAAAGAACAACCTAAGTATTAAGGAGCCTGGAGTCCATGGTCATGCAGAGCAGTCAAGTGCAAGCAGCTCCAAACTGTGCAAGGCGGCTCTCTGCTAAGGATCCCACCCAGCAGGGCCAGCTTCAAGGGAAGGGCTGAGCAGAGCCACAGACGGGTATATGAGAGACAGGGAGGGAAAGTGGAGACAGACGCTGAGCCCATCAGAGGCACACTCAAAGACAGAGAGGCCAGGACGCAGATCTGGCAGCGTAGCGCTGACAACATGAGAGATGGAAATGACTTCTGCATTTTATTGGTTTTGCGTTATCTACACCGCTGCTCTCCATTTAGTCAGACACTCGGAACCGATGAGATCAGGCGAGAGCTGGAGCCTGGAGAAGTGGGTGAAGGTCACATTTCTTGTCCCTCCAGAAAGTCCTCCAGGGTCCAAGCTCCCCTGCACCATGGTTTCTGACAGACCTGTCACTACAGCCTCTAAAGTGCAAAAGGTCAGAGGGTTGCTAGCTTGAACTTTACAAAATCTGAAAGAGCCCTGCTCTGAGCCAGGACACCTTTCTGGGTTCCCCAGGCAGGTGGAGGTCCCCAAGGACAGGGTGGACACAGAGGCCAGCCCACTCTCTCCCCGTCACACGAGGAGGAATGGGTTCAGGTCAGTTCTCCTCCCTAGAACAAGCACAGTGATGTCCTTCCTGAAGGACACGGGGATGGAAATGCAAACCCCATGTCCTGGGCTTCCGGATGCTCCCAGGCCTCTGTGCTGACAGCCTCTCCTGAGGGGGTGAAATCGTGGCTTCTCTGTTCTGGATCACAGAACAGGATGACCAGAGCCAATGTGACTGGGGACACAGCAGGAGTGCTTCTTATGCACACACAGTAAACACAGTGTGACAACAATGAACACTCCCCATAGAATCTCTGCCTCCATATAACGGTGTGTCCCTTCTTCTGTGCCCATGTCTGGCATGGCCCTCTCAGAGCTCCATCCCATAGCAACCATGCAAACTTGGCTCTTCAGCCTCCTGGGCCTCCATGTGCACCCACGACCACCGCCCAGGCAGGTTGCCACTCTGAGATCACAAATGAAAAGCACACAGTATCATCTCGGGGCCACACACAGTAGGCAGAAAGACACGGTAATTATGTTACTGTTGTGACTATGTCCCCAGCCTGCCGTTAGCTCAATGCTCTCACATGCAGAGTGGTGACAGTGGGCTTGTTCCAGGATGAGGGCTGGTGTTAGCCAAGCTGCAAAACCCCAGGCCCAGGAATGGTATTATCGTTATGATTATTTCACCAGACAGGAACCTGGGACGGGATGGCAAAAAGTAAAGATTTTTTTTTGCAGGAGCTGGAGAGAAAATGTCCCTCCCAGGCTGCAAAAATTAGGGAACTGGGAATCTGAGATGACAGGATAGACCCAAAGAGTGCTGAGCTAGGCACCAGTGGCCCTGGAGAGTGACTTGCTGAATTATAGAGCAGCCCTGGGAACAAGGGTCTGTACCGAGCAGCCCTGGTGGGCCTGGCAGGGACGTGGGCAGGGAATTCAGCAGCCTTTACTGCCAGCTCAGCAGAAATCACCACTTACACTTGGGGGTGACCAAGGGGCTGGGGGAGGAAACGGACAGCGTGGAGCACATACATACGTGCAGCCCGCCCGTGCTCTCAGCCAGGGTCCAGGCAGAAAGCAAATGGTGCATTTGGGAGAATCTTTCCAAGGTGCCTTCGGCTTGGCGCTACCAGGAGCGGGGTGCACCCAGGGTAGGCAACACTGGAAAGCTGAAGTCCCAGGTCTGAAGGGCAGGGTGAGGGGAATAGCGTCACCAATCCAGCATGCTTGAACACAGACCTGGTCAGTGACGTGGGGAGAAAGCCATGGCACAAGAGCCCAGACTTCCTCCTCCCACCCTCCCATGCCTGCAGGGTCCCCTATTGGCCAGAGCCATCAGGATACAGGAGCACAGGGAAGCCACTGGGGCACTGCATAGGGTCAGCCCCTCCACACAAGGCAGGGCAGAGAGAGCACAGAGTGTCGGAGCTGGAGAGCTGACAGAGAAGACTCAAGAAGCAGGGGCAGGAACAAGCCTGTTCTCAGAGAACTGCCCACCTGGCCACATGTGTGCTGCTGCCTACACTGGGGCAATGACAGTCACCACTGGATGCCAGGCTCCAGGGAAGACGCCTGGCTTCTACCACCAGAGCCACAGGTTGGGGAACTCTCACAGGTCTCTGGTTTCATCAGGGGACCATGTCCACCAATGACCTTCGTGTGCCCATGCCTCTGGCCAAGAAAATGGCGGGCGTTGGTGTAAAAGGCAGAGACGGGCAGAGTGAAAGAGGAGCCCTGAGTCCTAGAAGGCTGCGGGAGGAAGGATTCCTGGAAGAAGCTGGTCAGAATAGGAGAATGGAGAGGAAAGAGAGGATGATGAAGGAGGCAAAGAGTCAAGGGAGCAACGGGAGAACCTGGCTTCCCTTCACTGCCGTCCCCAGAAGAGGGACCAGCCTTGAGGCCCCCTAGGTGGGACATATTGGGCTGTGGCATGCCTGGGAAGGCGGGACTGTATGGAAAGGGACAGGACTTCCAGAAGGGAAGGCACAGGGCTGGCTTCTGTTTAAAGCAGGAGGAGCAGAGACAGGGGATAGAGCAGTGACATGCGGACATCAGCCCAACGCCATGCTCTGCAGGCTCCTTGACATGGGGCCCATTCAGGGATAGGATCAGGTTTACAGGAAAGCAGGCCAGTCCCATGGCCCTTCCTTGAGAGAGGAGTTGGGAAAGGGGGAGGTGGGTCAGTGCCCACGTCTGCTCAGAGGGACGTTCCATCTGATCTCTGCCCGTTTCCTCCGTGTCCTGCAGGTACCATCACAGTGCATCTCTGGAGAGACAGCAGGGGCCATCTCAGCCTGGTCGCCCCCCCACTGAAGGAGAACCGGGAGCCCTTCAAGGTCTCCCCAGATTCTGCAGCAGTGGCCATCTGGCAGACACTTCAGCAGACCACCAGTGGCGGTGGCTCCCGGCCCCTGGCCCAGCTGGCGCACTCCCTCAAGGAGAGGTGAGAGCTCCTGCACAGACGACAGAAAGCTGGGCGCTTGTCCCTTGGCAGGGACCAGCACAGTGCCCACCTGTGCCCAAGGCCAACCTCTCCCCTGGGGGGGTTGGCACCGAAAAAATGAGAAATTCAGATAAAGGCTCTCTCTAGAATAACCACTGTGGCCAGAGACAGGAACGGGCTTTCTCCAATGCTGCTTCTAGAAGGAGGATTACTGTGCATTTTACCTCAGAGGTTGATGCACATGTGCTATGGAGCAGGTACTTGGTAACTATTTGTTTAATTAAATATCTGTTTCACCAAGACCATGAAGTGTCTCTGGGGGGATTGTGCTGAATAGAAACCCTGGAATAGTTTATAGGAAGGAAGTGTGGCCAATTTCTCTCAGAAGTCAGCTCTTTCCTTAGCAGTTAGGACAGAAAAAGGAGAGAAGTCCATGCAGCACACCATCAGTGCCTAGGGACCCCAGAGACCCAGGGGCCTGAGGTCCTCGCAGAGATCTCCAGAGCCTCTGATAATGTGTGCTGGCCTTTCTCAGACAGAAAGGGATCCCTGGGGATTTTTAAAACATTTATGGGAAACAAAAGGGAACTAATGCAGTGACAATATGGCCCTCCCCAAGGAGCCCAGTGGATCTAATTAAGCCTCTTGGCTTGGCAGGAAGCAGCACACATCTCCATTCTCAAATGGAGATGCCAAGATGCAGAGAGGCCAGGAGAAGGAGGGCAGACCAAGGCTCCTGTCTCCCACAGCCCCCACCAGTCCCATTTCCCATGGCCTTCTGAGACCTCAGGAGATAACAACATGCCAGGGTGTAGAAGCCAGCCTGACTCTGGGGCGGGCGGGGGCGGGGGGGGTGTCACTGTCCCATACTGTGTGCCTCAACAGTGAGATCATTAATACACCAGATCACTTACAAGTGAACTTGAATCACCTCAGCCCTCTGAGGGGTGACACACCTGAGGAGCCACCTGGGGCTTGAGAGGATTGCACTGTGGTGTGATCTGGTGAGCAAAGAGGGCACTTAGGACCCTGCAGCTGTCTCCTGGCACCTGGTGAGAGACGTCCTGGAAGTCAGCTGGGGACAGCACTTGTCAGAACCTGTCCCAGAGAGCCTGGGCAGTCCACACAGGCATCCTTCCCTGGCCTCTGGCTGTGGCTGCCCTGACTGTCATCCTGTGCTCCCCACACCTGCAGCCCCGCCAAGGCGCTCCTGAGGCCTGAGTTCCACCTCAACACCCAAGTCTCCTCACTGGTGCAAGATTCTAATGGAAACCAGGTTGAGAGGCGGGGCTTCAACCCATGGGGCCTGCACTGCCACCAGGCCCATATGACCCGCCTGTGTGCTGAGTACCCAGAAGACAAGTGTCACCGTATCCTTGCCACCCTCTGCACCACACATGGTCCCACAGGCAGGAAAACACACCCAGAAGGAGCAGTGGGAGATAGAGAGAAGGAGGCACAGAGACAGAGGAGACAGAGGGACATGGGGCAGGGGTGGAAAGGGGAGACAGACACACCCAGGGCCAAGGGATTGGGACAGGGAGAGAGAGACGGAGGTGAGGGGTCATTTGAAGGCCAAGACCATAAACCTTGGACCTACAAGAGATCAGATCTCTCCAAAAGAAAACTTAAGAGGATGGAGACGTTAGACTGGGAATTAAGCTGAATGCAGTGTCCCTGGTAGGGCCATTGACATGTCTCCTGTCACCTAGGCAGTAGGATGAGTAGGGATGGGGTTTCCATAGGGAGAAGGAATGAGTAACACCACTCTGGGTGAAGGTAGGAGGGGGTCAGAGGGCTGGCTGAGTCCACCCAAATCCTCCCTGCAGATGTCTTCCCATGGGCCCCTGGGGCAAGGAGGGCGTGCAGGTCCTCCCTTAGGGAAGTGCCCATGGGGTGGACTCTGAGAGGAGGCAGACACCCCTCCCCCCCCACACAGACGGCCATATCCTCAGTGAGCAAATTTAGATTTGAAATGCCCCTCCATCACCACTGGGCTGCTGCCTGCAAACAGGCGGCTGGTTTCACAGTATTTACTAAGACACATATGCAACCTTAATCCCTAAGAAGCTTTTGCAGGATAATTACTCCACTGAAATTAATATTCCTGCAACTCATCTCCGAAGCGAACATCAACCCACTTCTCCCAAAAGGTATTGGCCCATTCAGTGACTGGAGGTTTTAGCCTTATGATTTTCTGCCATAAAATGTAAATTGGGCATGGCCTGCCAGGGATTTCACGCCTGCATTTAAATTTCAATCTCAGAGCAAAATGGAAAAGAGAAAAAAGGCTCACATACTCATAAACTCCCCCTAAATAAATGGACTTATTAAAGCAGCCTGCAAAGCTAATACCTTGCATTTGTAATAGCAAGGGCTTGCCTGTAAGGGAGGAAGTTGGAGTGAGTGAATGACAGTCTAAGCAGGCATTTCCAGACAGCTTCTAGGGCATGCTAACTGCCTCAGAGGGACAGTAGCCTTGATGTCCTCAGAGTCTTTCCTTAACTTAGCATGACTAGGGTTCTTGCTGCTGGAAAACGTAGTGTCACAGTACACACATCCCTGTATCCTGGACCTGAAGATGGGGACCCGGCAGCACGGAGACGATGCATCCGAGGAGAAGAAGGCCCGTCACATGAGGAAGTGTGCACAGAGCACCTCGGCCTGCCTGGGCGTGCGCATCTGCGGCATGCAGGTAGGTGCAGAGCAGGGGTGGGCATCTTGGCATGTCTGCTGTGGATGAGCATGTCTCCCCACACCCCTCCCTCCCTGCAGAGCCCATCACTTTTAGGGAGCAACTGAGGAGGCCAGAGACCACTTTTGCAATAAGGACATGCATCTCTTGGTCTGGGGCACATTGGTTGTTTTGGTCTTGCTTTTGCAGCGCTGGGGATGGAACCCAGAGCCTTGTGCATGCGAGGCAAGCGCTCTGCCTCCAGCCCACACGCTGGGTTTTATTAAGAGCATCCTTCAGGATAGTCATGTCAGAAGCCCACCATTTTTTAGCTCCATCTTTGGCAGCTGAAACCTTCTGCAGTGGCCCCATGGTTCCTGCCCATGTTGAGAGAGACCTTTGATGACAGTGTGTGGCAGGGACTGCAGAAAGAACTGAGAGGGGGTGCACTCTGCCTTCCTGATCCCGTGCCCTCTGAATGATGAAGCAGAATCCTGTCCTCCATATGGGACTCAGTCTGCTCTTGGAATTCTTATTAGCCATTCTCTCTTCTGCATCCACCTTTTCTGCTTCTGATGCCTGGTTTGGATAAAAAAGTGAGCAGATCATAACCTGCCAAGCCCAGACCAAGGATGGTTCATTTTCTTCTTGCCCAGACCCCCCGTTTCATCATTGCTGTTCCAGTATGGCCTTGGCAGGGCTGCAGAGAGCAGGGGGATAAACTGCCTCCACTCCTTCACTCTCTCAGTCTGTCTACTCCAAGCAAAACCAGACACCGATTTGACGGTAAACGTTATAGCTTTCCTTAATTGAAACTGCCACCCCTTGAAGCTGGAAGTTGAGTCTATAAATTCGTTGCACAGATGTCCCTGGGAAGGCTTGGAACGCAGTCCTCAAGAGAATGGAGTGTGATGATTTATGGTGTAAATGGAATCTCTCTCTGGACCTCAAACCTTCTGAAATTGATCTGATTTATTTAGAAAGTGATGCCTGTCGTGTATTTATGATGGCTAATTTAGCAGCCGATCTCCGGCCCTCCAAAGGCGACACCAAGCTTATCAGATCTTTCTGATTTTTTTTTTCCCCCAACACTGGTTTTCAGTAAACATATCATGTAATCTGAAGGCAAGAAAGACTTGAGACGCTGTCTTAGCCAGGTATGGGTGGCCCTGCCCAGGTGTGCCAAGTGTCCTCTGGCGGTGCCAGCCATGGGCCTGGGCTTAGTTTCTGCTGTTGCCTATGCCATCTGAATGAAATGGGGGCGGCTGCCATGGTCCCCCATCAGCATCTCTCTTCCATCTGCTCCCTTCTGGTGGCCAAGACATGTCAGAGGAGGGGAGGGGAGATGGTGCCAAGGATAGGCACCACCAGCCGCACAGAGCAGCTATAAGCCTCCCTCCTCCACTCAGGCCTCGCTCCCCCACCCAACCCAGCAGCTGCACTGTCTGCCTGCAAACTCCGCCCACACCTGACCTAGCCTGTCTTCTCATCTTCAGACAATTCGCCCCACTCTACCTCAAGAACCAATACTGTTTCCTTAAAATCTGCAGAGAAGGGGCTTTATAAACTTTGTTGGGAAGAATTTAATCTAGTTGGGTTTCCAAGGCCATTGGCTGTGATTTCGGATTCCTACTAAAGCTTTCTAGCTTGGGTTTGCTAATATCTAAATTGAAGAAGGCCAGAAGCCAGGGCTTAAATCATCATTTGGAGGTTGACATCGGAAATTCACCAGAGAAGAGATCCAAATCTTTGCCTCATGGGTGGAGGGTCACCCCTGTAGGGTGAAGGATCTTTAGACCTTGGATTACTATTAAAGACTTGCAGAGAGAGCATTTTAAAAAGTAAAAGCGACAGTGGGGTGAGATGGAATATCATTTTCTGCTCTCTTCAGTTCCTCTTGCCCCCCCCCCCCCATCTCCTGGAAATCTGTTCATTGACTATGGAAGCTTGACTGTCGAAGGGGCAATTTTTTTAAAGTTTACAATTCCAATTCTTCACATTTTCTCTTTCTTCTTTTCAATGTAAGGTTTATCAAACGGATAAGAAGCACTTTCTCTGCAAAGACAAGTACTATGGAAGAAAGCTCTCAGTGGAGGGCTTCAGACAAAGCCTTTACCAATTCCTGCACAACGGAACCCGTCTCCGGACAGAGCTCTTGGAACCCATCCTGCACCAGCTCCAGGCCCTCCTCTCCGTCATCCGGAGCCAGAGCTCATACCGGTTCTATTCCAGCTCTCTCCTTATCATCTACGATGGGCAGGAGCTCCCAGAAAGAACCCCAGGTGGCCTGCAGCCTCAGGAAGCTCCTCAGAAGGCCCGTGGCAGTGCTCCAGGAGGTCTGGCCAAAGTTGACATTCGGATGATCGACTTTGCCCACACGACATACAAGGGCTCCTGGGATGAGCAGACCACCTACGATGGACCAGATCCTGGCTATATTTTTGGCCTGGAAAACCTCATTGGGATTCTGCAGGATATCCAGGAGGGAGAATGAAACTTCTTGGCACTATCTGGAATTTTCTGGGCTACAGATTTTGCAAAGGGACCTATTGGTAGCTAGGATAGGGTAGATACCCCTTAGATGTCTTTTCTAATAATCAGATCTACCTTCAAAGGCCATCTCTATACATGGCAGACTATATTAACCGTTGCTAAAGAAATACACCCCGGAGGCAATTCCACATGCCGGGCACCTCCTGTAATGCTGGTCGTCTGTCGGCAGCACCGAGGAGGAGCAACAGAAGCAGAGGCCAGCACTGCAGTGAGTCTGGAGCATTTGCATCTACAAATGCTTTCTTGTCATGCTGCAGTCCTCCTGGCTGTGAGAGAAAAAAAAAAACCCTCCTGGAAGAAGTCTTGAAGAATGAGTTCCCAAGTTCAAGGATTTTTCTGCCTGTGTGAGCTGCCGGCTCCACGGGCACACAGAGCCAACCAGTGCCTCTTACCTTCCTAGAGGAGTGGGTATGGGTGAGACCCACTTGCCTGTCTCACCTGCTCTATACCCAGGTTCTCAATGACAAGGACACAGGCTGGGGGTGCACCCTGATTGTCGAGAGTGTGCCTCACATGCACAAGGCCGTAGGTTTGGATCCCCAGCACCAAGATAATAATAATCTAAATAAATGGACAAGGACACGCCCGGGCATGAGCACTAGTAAACCAAGACCTTGCCTCTCCATTTTTGCCTATGGAGAGAAAGGTCTCTTTATAGACTTCCCACTGCCTACGGGAGATGAAAACTCTGCCACATTCTGACCACAAAATGACTGTGACCATGAAATGCAACTTCCGGTGGGGGTGGAATGCACGTGAGGAGGAACTCCTGGTGTCAAACTCTACTCTCTGCTTTCTGTTTATTTATTTGGGAAGGTGGGGGTGGGGGAGTCCAAAGAAAAGAACCTAGAGGACCGAGGAAACCAGGGCAATGTTTACAAGACTGGTGGACAAGTGTAAATAGAAAATAAGAGCAAACAGTTCTAATTAATTCCTTCTTCTGCAGTGTGGGAACCTATTACAATGCCCTTGGGTCAAGCGCTGCGATACGTTCCCCAATTAGGGAAATAAATTTGTTAATAAAATTGCTGAGGTCACCAGTGATTATTGGTGGGCCTTATTACCCTTTCTGTTTGTTTATTCTGATCAGCACACTGTATGGTAGTTCCAATTTATGAGCGACTAGAGTATACAGCAAGAATAGCTCCCTGATTTCCTGCAATCCTTCAGGGAACTCGGGTGGAAATGGTGGCTAATAAAATATTTGCATGTATCTGCAAGGCAGGCACCAGATCTTTCATTTCACTTGAAACTTATATAATGCAAAATTAAATAGTTATTGGATTCTAATGGATAACTGCCGTCAAGTTTCCAAAATTTCCATACTCAGAAGGAAAAGAGTGGCCTGGATCATAAAAATTTTTAATTCTGGATTACACTGCCTGGATTTTAAAGTAGGATTTTAAAATCCCAAATTATGTTTGGCCAAGGTAATGACAAAATTATTTTTGCAGACTGTGCTTATGGGGGAAAGTGGGGCCAGAGCATGTTAGGTGGCAAAAGAGAGCCAACTTCAAACTAAATATTTGCCTATGACAAAACGGAGCCCTAAACCCTTTCTTGCTTGAGAACTTGGTACTGCACCAACCAAGTCCAGAGCTCCCTGGCTTAGCTTCTCATCCCCACGCATTCCTAGCTCTGGATGTTGTGGGACTGGAATCTAAATCTATGGCTGGTCCACCCTGGTCACAACATGCCACAGCTGCTGTCTGTGTCCTTCCTCCTCTCCACGTGATGCCCCTCTCACCTCACCTCTCCTCATGGTCCCCTTCCCCTGTGAGGCCTTCTTCCTCCTCTCCAAACCATTTGAGGCCTGGCCTGAGTTCCCATCTCCTCCTGAAGATGGCCCCAACAAAACAGCACTTTATTGTAAGAAGAGGAGAGTTGCTAATGGTTTTAGGTTGTTCTTACTGGACTGCTGGACCCAAAGGGGGCCACTGTGGTCTGGAATCTGCTCTGCAGATTTGGGAAATGAGCTCATCCAGTTGATTCCAATCGGGGAAGAAGGAGAAGAACAGAAAGGTACATAGAGCCAGGTGTGGTGGTGCACCCCGGAAGTCCCAGCTGCTCGGGAGGCTGAGGCAGGAGGACTTGAGTTCAATGCCAGACTCAGCAACTTAGTGAGGCCCTGTCTCAAAATAAAAAATGAAAAGGGCTGGGGAGGTGGCTCAGTGGGTAAGCACCCAGTTTAATCCCTTGTACCAAAACAAGGTCAAGGTACACAGAGAAAGGAAAATAGGAGATATTTATGTATTTGGGTCACAGATCCAAGTTTACTCAAAAAAGGCAAAAGAGCCAGGCATGGTGGCATACTCCTGTAATCCCAGTGCTGGGGAGACCGAGGCAAGAGAATTGCAAAGTCAAGGACAGCCTGGGCAACTTAGCAAGTCCCTGTCTCAGAATAGAAAGTTAAAAGACTAGGGATATAGCTCAGTCATAGAGTGCCTCTGGATTCAATCCCCAGTGAAACACACACACACACACACACACACACACACCACAGCAGAAGGCGTGAGGGAGCTCTAAATAATGCGGCAATCGGAAGCTATTTGTTCTGGTCTTTTTATTCATGCTAGGGAAGACACAGCTCATGGGGAGCTTAGGTTCTAGTTGAGGAGGCAAGAGTAACACATGTGAACTGACAACGAATCACACAAGAGGATTTGCTGTCAATGATATGGAGGATGTATCTGTGTGGTGCAGGTGATCAGTGCTATAACACCTTTAAGCTAAAGAGGCTTAGCTGGGTGACCCATGCTTGTAATCCCAGCAGCTCAGGAAGCTGAGGCAGGAGGATCTGTGTTCAAAGACAGCCTCAGCAACTTAAGGAGTCCCTAAGCAACTTATCAAAACCCTATCTCTAAATAAAATATTTTTTAAAAGGGCTGGGGATGTGGCTCAGTGGTTCAATGCCCCTGGGTTTGATTCCTGGTACCAAAAAAAAAAAGGAGTTTGCTGTTAGCATAGACACCACAGAGACTGTTGGAGGAAACGGCTTCATCTGGGTCCTGAAAGGTAATAGGAATGGAGAAGGGACTAGGGTTAGGTGAGGGAAGGGAAGTAGGAGAGAGTAAGAGTCCAGCAAACTCATGTGCCTGTGGACAGACCGACCCATTCAGAATGAGGTTGCCATGGTTGGGAAGAGTAGAAATGAAGAATGGAGAAATGGAGAGAGCCCAGATGGTAGAGATATTTGAAAATCTGGCCAAGGAGCTCATTCATGTGTTTGTAATTTCATTAATTTGTCCTTCCCTCCCTCCCTTCCTTCCTCCCTTCCTTCCTTCCTTCTCCCAGTTACTGAGTTCCTGGTACACACAGCACCATGCTCAGGCCTGAATGGGAAACGAGGAAGTGTGAGGATCATGATGTCATCACCAAGATGCCACAAGAGAGTTAAGATCCCAGACAAAAATATCATAGGTGCTTTAATAGGGCAGGGGGCCATGTGATCAGATGTGCACAGTGCCATCCAGCAGAGCAGAGGCAGCGAGGGCCGCATGGCATGTCCCAGAAGTGGTGTTAGGCTGTGCCTAGAAAGGGAGTCAGGTCTAACGATGATGAAGGAGGGCAGGTGTTCCAGGTGGATCGATAACCACGGCGACAGGGAATGATCTGGGGGCCACAGGGGGAGGGTGTGCATGGGCACTGAGGGAGATGACAATGAACCAGAGAACTAGAAAGGGCCTCTGGACCTTCTTCCTGCTGCTGCCTCTTGCCCAGGAGACTGTAGGAGCCTGATGGCGGCCTCCCTTACCCACACTGGGTAGCTCTCCTTCTGAATTGAGGAACACACAGCTATTAGAGGATGCTAACTGCTATAATAAATAATCCCCAAGTATCAGTAGCAGAGCATTACAATCCAACGCGGTCAACAGAGAGCCTCTTCCCCACACTGTCACCAGGACCCTGACTCCTTCCATCTTCAGACGCCACGCCGTCCTGACAGCTGCTGGTGACACGTAAAAGTTAGACAGCATGGATAAGGCACACCCACGCCCTACGAGCAAGAATTAGTCATGTGGCCCTTCCCCAGATGTCAAGGGGCTGACATGGAATGTAATGACGGGCCCGGAAAGAGGAAATGGGTTTGATGAGAACCTAGTCAGCCTCTGCAATAACGTGTCTCTATAATCCTCATGTCAATATGACACCTGGCTTCAGGATGGGGAAAGAGAGAAATAAACAGTGAGCATGAGGGGGCGGCAGGGGCCTGGCAGCGTCTCTGCTGCAGGTTCTGACCAGATCCTCCCTCTGGCTGTGTCCTATGACAGGCAGTGAGCTGGGGAGTGCCGGGAGATGTGCTTGGAGTCTCCCCCTTCAGCCCCTCATCAGTCCTATGGGAATCTAACACCTGTCCTTAAGACAGGAGACGTGGAAGAGCAAACAGGGGTCATTGCCATCACCACCCCCAATGAAGCAGCCTGCTCCTGGCCTGACCTCTCCTTCTCATCTATTGCCACCACCACCACCAGAGTCAGCAGAGGAACAGGGCAGCCTGGGAGACTGTCATCGCCCCGTCCCCGACCCTCTGGTGTCCCCTGTGTGATTAAAGAGGAGGCTAAAGAGTGGAATGTTATTACAGCTTTTCCATAATGCAATGTCATCAGCAAGCCCTGGGCCTCTGGGCAGCGCCCTGGCAGCGCCATCACTCTTCCCAGCTGCACAGAGCTTTTAGACCGCGGAGGAAAGGGCAGGCGGCAGTCTAATAAAACAAATGGCAAGGCGAGACCGCTCATCAGCAGCTCTTCAAAATGATCTAAACTTCTGACTTTTGATTTAAATCTGCATCCTCTGTGGCCAAAAACATAAAACAGAAGATGAGGGAGAGAACTGAAATGAAAGTACGGGTGCCAAGAAGTAGAGGGGAGGGCGGGGGTGGAAGGGCAGCCCTGGGACAGACAGCCGAGCCCTGCCTGGTGGGCTGACTCACAGCCAGGCTCC